GCCTCCGCCCGCAGCGCCGCCCCGCGGCACGGAGGGCACGGAAAACAAGCGGAGCAAAAGCCAACTGCAGAAAAAGGAACAAGAAGCGGTTTCCGCAGTAGGGGCTGAATCCCGGCGAGGCGGGAACGGGAGCAGATCTCTTGTGCTGCCCGCGCCGGCCCGAGAGCGGCTGCTTCGGTCGGGCCAGGGCTATCGCCGCTGGGCCTGGGCTGTGAGCCCAGCTTTCAGCGTGAACCGCGCTAGGAAGTGCCGCTACCTAAACCTGAGGTGAAATTTAGACCACGAGTTGGGTATGAGGCCAGTAGTGTCGCCACTTAACGGGACTGCTGTTACGCAGCGAAAGACAAGCTGAATTTATTTAGCTGTCAGGCCAGAGGTGAGCTCCAGGGACTTAAAGGCATTTTCGGCGCTTCTGTGGAGCGGACCGGCCCGTGGCAATGGCACAGAGCGCTGCACAGGGAGTGCTCCCGCACCACCAGAGCTCGGCACCTCCCAGGCGGGACGGCAGCAGGACACTGAGAGCTGCCCAACACCGGGAACGTGGTCCGTGCTGCTGAGGCTCTGTCCTTGTCCTTCCAGATTTCTTGCTGCTTCCTGCACAGCCGCTGATTTCACTGACCCTCACAGCCGCTCTGTGACTCTGCCTTCCAAAAGCCACAGGGAAATGTCTCTGGCTGGTATCGTGCTGGGTGCAGTTGAAATAACGTGAACAAAAACTTTGCAACTGGCATAGTAAGTTGCAACAGCATCTATGGTGGGATAAGTATGTGGCTTCAGTTTTGCTAGTCGTTCTCTTTGAGATAAAAAATTAGAGGCAGGATTCATTTTGCTTGGGCATCTGAGGTTTGCTGTCTTGAGAGCAGCTCTTCCTAAAACACAGATCTAAACCAAGCTCACTAATTCAGCAGGGAGGTGTCTCTGCTCCTCCTCAGGCAAACAAGACAGCAAGGGAGATTACTTAGTCAGGTCCTTGATTTAGGCATATTTCTGTGAATTAATAATGTAGTGGAAGAATAGGGAAAAAAATGTGATAGCAATTTTGGGAGCAGTTTTTATGAAGATTATATAGAAATAGGCTACCATAGGGGAGAGATCAGGAAAAAGAACTAGGGACTTAGAACTGTATTCCTCCTACCTAATCTTAAACGTAGTCCATTAATTATGTGTATACTCTACCAAGCAATAGAGAATACCTTTCAGCTAAAATCTGAATCACTGGACTGACCAAACTGGGCATCATAGTTAAGATCCTAAAGTGATGTGTAATGGCTGGGATCTTCACTTGTCTGAGTATGACTTGACTTCAAACCACAGTTCCCAGATTTTTGGAAACGGTCATCTGTAAATAGTGCTGAGTTATTGTTTTTATTTGTTTGTTTTTTATTATGCTAAGAGTTATGTTCTACCAGCATGCAAAGGAACAGATGAATCATAAATAACCAACAGTTAAAAGCATTTGGTATTTCCAAATTGTAAGTTCTGAGTCTGCAATCAAAGAAATTTTGTAAGGACCCTTTTCTTCTGAGATGTATGTACGCATGTACAACAGATGCATTATTATTTTCTATACCTAATTGCTATTCAAGTAGCAGTTCAGATTTTTTTTTTCTGTAGAAATCAATTTTCTTTAGGCAGCTTTTAGGTTAAATTTTGTTTTAAAAATAGAGTAACAAATTCATTTTACTATACTTGCACAAACCTCTTGCAGTTAATTTGGCTCTAATGTTATTAGCATCTATTTTATGCATGGGTATGATGCTGAAAAATTAACTTGATACCATTTATTTTTCTGCAGTTCTTCTGAGTCCACTGATTCCAGAGCTATCACAGGAGGAGAAATGTTTTTGCTTCATTGTTGTGGGTATATAAAATAGGTGTGAAGGTTATTGTAGCTGTAATGATAGCGAAAGTTTAAATAAACTTTTACATTATTATTATGTATGGATTGATGGCTATATTCCATTGACACAAAGCAAATAATTTCTTATGAAAGCCATGCACAGTATTGCTTTGATTCACTCTAGGAATATCAATTAACCCTGTCTTAATTGGGGACAATAAAAGCAAACGATGAGGTTCTTACTCCTGTCAGAATGAATCGATGCAATCTGTATGACATAAAGTACATTATGAAGGTTTGCATTCTAGTATTCATGTAATCATATAATAGTGATATAGTGGGTGTTTTTTGACTACATGAGATATTTTTAGGTGTATATAGAAAATACATAGAATGGATGAGTAATGCAAAATAGAGAAGAAGAAAGTTTCTAAGAGGTGTGGTTTGTCACAAAACTTTTTGCTTGGCATAAAAAATTAATTGAAGGAATTCTGATATACACAGTATATTTTCCTTTCCCTCAGAAAGAGCAGAGTTACACCTTTTAATGGAATCTTAGCTGATATTTACAGGGAATTGGATTGTGTGCAGTCTATGTTTTTGATTCAGGAATTTATTAAGACAAAGACAGTAAATAACAGTGTAACTCCTGTTTTGATGAAAAATTAGAAATTATGCAGGTGGAAATGAATAAGTAATTGTGTAATAGGATGTCTGAAAATGGTTTGTAAATTGAATAAAATGGAGTATAGTATAAATTAGAATTTTTTAAAATGGTTCTTTCCTTTCGCATATGCCATGATATTATCTTTATAGCTTGCTGGAGATCTTTTCCTACCAAACAGGTGAATGTGTGAATTTGAATGGTTTAGCTGTCATGTTTTGCTCATTAATATGTTTACTTTGATTTTAGCAATCAAAAAGGTTACTTCTCATCTCATTTGTTTTTTATTGTGCTGGTATACAAAATATTAGTAACAATTTTGATGTGGTGATTCATAAGGCTTAGTCTGATGAAGGAACAGGTGCTTAATGACCCCTTCCTTTATCAGAGAGAGCTGGCAGGATGAAGCACAAGCTTTTTTAACTGGCTATTGGACTTTGATTAGAAGAAGGGTTTTCACCCTGGCTGTTTGTTCCACGGGTAGCTTTGACTTTTTTCATTTTCACGGTTCCTTTTTAATGCACAGTTATAAATAGCTTAATGTTTTGCTTTTCATTGCACTCTTTTCTCTTTTCCTGTCATTTGCACTGTGGCTGTGCTAATGGGAGGGTGGTTAGCTCAACCTCAGGCAGCCTTTTCTGCATAATTGGTTCAGTTAGGAAACAACACATTTTCAATTAATTAGTGTGATTGCCTACCTAACAGTAGGTAGGGGAAATTTGGTACTCATTTGGTTCTTTCTCTGCAGTGAATATTCATAGCAGTAATAAAATCTTCCCTGAGCAAAATATTTCTAAATATACATTCTAGAAATACATTCTAGACGAACAACACATGTATGTGGAAAATCTCACAAGTAAGAGTACTAAATGCATCAGCAGCTGCCTCATTCATACACTTTATTAATGTGGTTCAGACACGTACATATAAAATTATATTCATATAAATACTGTGAGTTTTTTACCTTAGTGTCAGTGGTTATCATTGGAGCACTGGGAAGATTATTCTACTCAATTTTTGCAGGTGCACAGGAAGATTCTTTTTTTTCTCTCAAACCTAATATTTGCAGATGCACATTTAGCAGGAGGTTTGAATTTAATTTTTTTTTTTAAGCTGTGTTGTTTCTAGTAGAAGGATGAATTTGCTTATTCAGTGTGCACTGGTATTTCATAAAGATCCATCTAAAATACCTATTTGCAGTGTGTGCAACACAAATGCACCCCCAAACTAAACAACACAGAACTGCATGAATTAATATGTTAAGTTGAACTAGAGTTGATCTGCATGAGCAGGCCTATAATTTCAGAGGTTTGTTGCTGCTCTAATTTGAAACAAACAGCAAAAAAAATTAAAAATCACTATTTGAAGATTTTTCTCTGAAAAATGCTTCTACTTCTTTGAAGTAGAATTAGTTTTATTAGTTTTTTAGAAAGATGTTAAAATTAATTTTTTCAAGTAATTTTATTGTTCAGCTCACAAAAGAAAAGCCAAAGTGTAGGATTATTTATTTCACTTACAAATGTAAACAGATTTTGTTCCAGCTGAAAAGCAGTTCAGTTGCTTGCCTCATAACTCACATCTTGAAGTAGTTACAGAACCTCATTGTTCTGTTAAACCAAATTTGCCTCTAACCTAATTATAGCTTTTCCCTATAGATCAGTTTTTCACCTTCTGATAAAAGGCTCAATCATATTTCAGGCTTTTAAAAGCAAAGACAGATCCTCTTTGTAAAACAGACCCTCCATTCCCTTGTCATAAATTGTACCTACACATCTTACAGGTTTTTTTCCTTTTTAACTTGGACAGTTAGAATTGTACACGATTCTGATAAGCACTGTCTTTCACCAGGGCATTAACACTCCCATCTTTACCAGAAACATCTGACCCCAAGCATCCTTGCATCATAGTAATCCTTCTCACTAATGTTATACATTTTTAGGCCACACTGATTCTGTAGATTAATTCAACTAAAGTGCTACGGTGACACAAACACTAATGCTCATTAAGTCAATATGGAAATTAGATTAAATCATCTAGATAGACTGATTCCAAAACAGCTTTCCAGATGGAAGACAGCATGGGGGAAGAACACAGTTAGTACGCATCCTTTGAAATGAGGAACATGTGGTGTCCTGTGAAGTGATGTGAGCAAAAGCAGTGATCTCAAGTTTCTATTGTCATTCAGGGCTGAAAACATCCCAAAGAGTATGGGAGAGTGAAAGAAACTGCAGTCAAAATCCTTCTCTCCTGTAAAGTGATGGAAACCACATGGTTCAAAGGGGCAATTTCAGAGGTCAAGACACGACAGAGGGACAGGTAGCCTTTAAACCTGGTTCTCTCCATTAAAATTCCCTCTCCTGTGAGAAATACAGAATCCTATGCTTTTATGAAGTTCTCTCCCATTTTATGGCATTGGATTTCCAGCACCTTTAGTACTTGAACCCATGCTATGCTCTGAGCTGGCACCTCTGCTGATGTTTCAGTGCCTGTCAAGAATATGCAAAATCTCAGTTCCCTGCTTTAGGAGGAGATTAGTGACAGTTCAACTACAACATAATCCTCTTTCAAAGGAAGCATCACATTAAGGTATTTGAAAATATACCACTGGTGAAAAAAGCACTCTGGGGACAAAAAAATGTTTAGTTTTCTTTGTATTTGCCTATTTGTCCACATTGCATTTTTAAGTTATGTTAACAATAAATCTGTATTTCCCTTCTATCTTTAAGGGCTTTTATTTTAATTCTCTGGTTTTAAGTGCTACTTAAGTATTTGCTTGCACTCGATTTTGAGACCTTCTGTCAACAAACTCCTTAAAATTTTCTCTGTTGCTTTTGATTATATAAGTGTTTATTTATGCAGCAATATATATTTTTTATAGTTTGCAATACTTCACATTTTTATTCACACTATGAATAAAAATTTTATATACTACTTGTTCAATGATAGCTCACTAAATCAGAGGAAGATATATTTAATGTTTGCAGTGTCTCACTATGACATGCTATACTATTACTGATAAATTGATCCTCTATTTAGCATTAATCAAAACATTCAGGTCATATTTGTCATTAAGAATTACAAAATGTGGGTATTTACAGTGGGTTTTGGTTTTTTACAATTTTTTCTAAAAACATTTAATTTTTAACTGGCCATATGGCTGAAAACTGCAGGAATACATGTCTCTTTCCCTGAATTATATTCACAGATCAGGTCAAAAAAATGGTTACTCTAAATTCTGCATATTATGTTTAACCAATCCTCAGAAAAGATCAAAGGCAGTTTTGTCAAACACAATGTGGGAATTTGCTCATTTGAACACTTCAGTACACTTAGTCTTCTAATCCAAACAGAGAGAAACTACCTTTCCAAACATGGAGATAAACTGAATTCAGTACTTGAAAGCTTAGAAAAATTCATTAGCTCTATACATATATTAACATAAAGAGCTACTTAAAGAGCTCTTTTTACTGAAGGTTCATATATATAGTCTAGCGCTTTATCATGTCTATAGGTATTAGTAACACCACACTATGTAATGACTGTGTTTTAAGTTCTGAAATATTCAGAAATATTCTGAAATACTCAGAATCTGCCTGTCATTATGGAACCTGTTTTTCTAGGTGTTTCTGTGCATGTATTCCCAACAAAAATGCCTGAAAATGTAGATATCTGATAAAAGAGTTCAGATAATAGATGTTTTATGCAGCCTTTATCCTATCTAACTTACTATCTTGGAAGCTGTGTAAATTCAAACACTGAGTTTCAAGTCAGTGAAATGAATTACATGTCTGCACAAAGTGATTCATCTTGTCTAAAACACCAGATTTAGGGTGAGATGAATTACCCACTGGAGGCGCCTCATTCATTCTCTTCATACATATAGGGCTTAAGGTTACTCATTTTGAAGTAGTCAACTTTGAGTTGACTGAAGTTGATATTAATTGTCCCTTTTGTAATTGGAATGTGGAATGCTGTGAATGTGCTAACAAGCTTTTGAGTTTTTTGTCAAATCTGCACTGACACTGAACACTGAGATTTAGCTTACATCAGATGTTTCTCCTGGTCTTTTGGTGTTGCCTCCAAAACAGTATCACAGGAAATTGTTCAAGTTTGTCCATTACTCAGCCATGAGAATAACAAACCTACTTAGAATAGCTTAAATGCATTTTGGACAATGAAAATATCTGATGCATTTAATTATTCAGCACTCACTGAGACTGTCACCCCAGCTGAAATTTGGAAATTTCTATTTGATTGGTAACCAATATGATTTTACTTGGGTTTGTTCTGAGGTTGGCATGGGCAGAATGAGCATGTGGCAGTAATGGTGTTACACACACAGCTATGTGAGTTGTGGCCATGAGGTCATTGGGAAGCATGTTTAGTCTTACAAGAAGGAGCCTTCTGGGGAAAGGCATCTCCCACAAGGTGGCAAATACCTGCACCTGGCTTCTGTTTGCTTTTTAACTGGCATTTCAGGAAAATAGGCAGGCAGAAGCCACAGAGACCTGGCACTTAACTTCCTTGACAAATGGGTGAGCAATATTTGTCCCTAATGTTCAGCAGGACATGAACTTAACTCCAAAATGATAAGTTTTACTTTTCTGTCTCTATTTTTAAATTTATTTTTTATTAAGGGAATAATTTTTGGAGTCCTTTCTTTGCCTTCTTGTTTTACAGCTTTTTTGGTTCACTTCTTATGTATTCTCAGAAGCTGTGAGGATTGAAGATATGGAGGATGATATTCTATCAAGAATAGAAATTTAGAATCATGGAATTAAAGTCTGAATAATATGCCAGTTTTCATGGAAGTTCATCAAGGAATGTCTCCCATGGGAGGGACCCCACACTGGATCAGGGAAGGAGTGTGAAGAATTCCCCCGAGGAGGAAGGAGCAGCAAAGACAACCTGTGATGAACTGACCACAGTCCCATCTCCTTTCCCACCTAACTACTGTGGGGGAAGAGAAAGAGAATTTGGGGTTAAAGTTGAGCCCAGGAAAAAGGGGTGCTTAGGTGGAAAGTGTTTAAAAATTTGTTTTTCTTTCTCATTATTCTGTTCTGATTTGTTTGGTAATAAATTAAACTAATTAATTTTCCAATACACCATAATATGGAGAAAAAAATCATCTTGTGGGAATGGAGTTTTAAAAAATTGAGAAAAAAGTGAATTTCCAGTCTCATCTAAGGAAATCAGGGATCTAAACCTTTCTTAAGGCAGTCATTCTAATTTCATGTAGTAAAAAACCTCATGGCATGAAGTGTGAAATACCTAATGAAAGAAAATGTGTGTGCCAATGGATTAAATATGCTTTTGCAAACTTCTGATTATTCTGCAGTGGGCTATGAGGTGTGTAGATTTCATACAAAAATGCAGCTTGCAGGTAACTGAGGCAATAACTTTTAAAAGACTGGAAAGCAGAGTGCACAGAAATCAAAGTAATGTTTATAACCATTGAGCCAATAACATCTGGGATGATTTAAAAGTAAGTTCCACTATTTTACTCTTGGATTTTGCACAGAAGAAATTTGTAAAATAAATGCCAATTAATTTGAGTAGCTGAGCTTAACACTGATAGTACAGCTTTTCATTCCCAAACATTTCAAAAACTCAAAGATCTGTCTTACAGAAAATAAATTCACAGTAGTGAAGACTGATCAAAAGTAGAGGAAAATTGACAAATAATTTATACATTTATAAGTTAATTCTGACATCAAAAGAATTACCCACTTAAACATGTTTCTTTTCTGCATGAAGTAACATCCGCAAATTGGAGTCGAAGCTTGGATTCTCACAATCCATGAATCTAAATTGCATTGCTTATTTATATAAAATGAAAGATCCCTGAGGTAGTGAACCTATTCCCTTCTGG